TGGCCTTGCAGTAGTGCCTGGCCTAGTCCAGTTACCATGGAGACGCAACCCGGCCTTGCAGTAGTGCCTGGCCTAGTCCCGTTACCATGGAAACCCACCTGGCCTCAAAGTGAGGGTTCCGGCCTAGTCCTGTTACCATGGAAACACAGCCTGGCATCACAGTAGTGCTCAGGCCAAGTCCTGTTACCATGGAAACATAGCCCGGCCTCACAGTGAGGGCTGAGGCCTAGTCCTGTTTCCATGGAAATGCAGCCTGGCCTTGCAGTGAGGCCTACAGCCTACTCCATGGTAACACAGCTGCCTGGCCTAGTCTTGTTACCACGGAAACACAGCCTGGCCTCACAGTGAGGGCTCAGGCCTAGTCCTGTTACCATGGAAACGTGGCCTGGCCTTGCAGCAGTGCCTGGCCTAGCCCCGTTACCATGGAAACCCACCTGGCCTCAAAGTGAGGGTTCCGGCCTAGTCCTGTTACCATGGAAATGCAGCTGCCTGGCCTAGTCCTGTTACCATGGAAATACGGCCTGGTATCACAGTAGCGCTCAGGCCAAGTCCTGTTGCCATGGAAACATAGCCAGGCCTCACAGTGAGAGCTGCGGCCTAGTCCCATTACCATGGAAATGCAACCTGGCCTCGCAGTAGTGCTCAGGCCTAGTCCTGTTACCATGGAAACACAGTCTGGCCTTGCAGTGAGAGCTGCGGCCTAGTCCCGTTACCATGGAAACGCAACCTGGCCTCGCAGTAGTGCTCAGGCCTAGTGCTGCTACCATGGAAACGCAGCCTGGCCTCACAGTGAGAGCTCAGGCCTGGTCCAGTTACCATGGAAACACAGCCTGGCTTCGCAGTGGGGCCTGTTTTCCCCCCCAAAATTGTCATCCCCTTCCCCCCCATTTTAGGGTGACGGTGCCGCCATGGGGGGGGACAGAGGGGACACCCGGGCGGGGCCCGGCCCTACCTCCACCGTCGTCCTCCGCCATCGGGGTGTCTGGCGGCTCCAGTTATTGCTTGGGGAGGGTGTGGGGAGCCCAGGGAGGGGG